CCTGCCGGCCCGTTGCCACGAGGCGCACGCCGTCCGCCATTAGGCCCTGTCGCCAGCGCGCCCGTCTAGCCGTAAGTAGTTTAAGCCGTAGAATAAGATAATAGATTTGGATTAAGTGTAGTTAGGGTAATCGGTTAGAATTACGTAATTTAATAGAATAGCATTAGAAATAAAGAAGTTAACTAGAAAGTCCGGGTCTCGTCCTCCCCTTCCCCGTCCTTCCCATTTTCCTCGTTACAAATTGTCAAGAAATAAAACCAAATGGAATACCGGCTCTCACGCATACTCACTATGAGTGTGGCACCGACGCACACATACTCAACGCTTCGACCTGTAGCTTGGCGCTTGGCTGATCGGAACGCGCGAAGATTTTTAGGAGCGATCGCACTCACACAGATTCGCTGCATGTGAGTTCCGTACGTGACACCAGCGCGTGCCCGATGCTCCGCGCTCGTCGCTTCTCAACAACAATGTACTTTAAACTCATTGTTTTCATCTTTCGCCGAATCGTGCGATCCACGTCGTTCACGACTCGCGTATTCGGTGTTTACCTATGTATTGCAATTTTGCTAATTACCAACATTTGACTGTGAGCCGGAATATTTTCAGGACAAATGTTTTGCAATAAAATTATCAATGTAGGGGACAAATATTTCAATTGAAGGTTTCTATCATCCAAGCTCATTAATTCATTCTCAAAATGATTTTTATAATTTAAATTTTTGCAATGAATGAGATAACGGTAGCAACATGGGTAACTAAATAATAATACTAACGATAAGAAAGATTGATACTGTTATCTTATGGTACGATTTTAATTAATTTTACATTATTTATGAAAGTCACCTTATGGACGGTGAAACAAATAATGAAAAGCTGAACTCATAATAAAAAATGACATAACTGTAATGTGTTTCGTGCGATTGCTATCAACTGTAAAACGTGCTGAAAAAAATTTGCCTAAAAAACCGTACCCACCCTTCCCCTCCGTCAGGATTTGATCTTGCGACACGTACAATACACCTGACGTCATATCGACTACGCCGAACTATGTTGTTGGGTATCTCCTTCCACCTAGGTTTTTTGTGTTCCCTACGGAACATTCATAATTTTTTTATTAATTTCCGTAGCTTAAAAAAATTGTATTTACAGTATAACTCAACTCTCAAGTACCCACGTTGTAATTTTTCCTGTATCATATGCGGATGAAATAAATGAGGTAAGTGAAGGGTATAGTCAAAGAGGGTGCCATGAGTGTTCTTCCCTTACCATTAAAAGCGATCAGTGTCGGTAAGCGTAGGTAAGCCACCACCGTCAACTGCCGCATGGTATTACCATCACGAGTACGTGAGCCGCCAACGGCGACTGGTAGATGGCACCGCCATCGCGAGTGCGTGAGCCCCTATCAGAAATCGTTGCGCCCGCCCTTATGGGCAAAAACGGTGAAAGCTCACGTACACAACCAGAGAGCAGCACACGATGCGATCGCGCGACCCTGCCCGTGAGCAATCTCCTAATTCATCTCTGATATTCAATTCCATTCAATTGTATGTGATTGTATGCGAATGTGTGATGGCACTAATTTATAATAAACGTTGGTGAACATGGACCGTCATTGTTATACCTTAATTAGTACAGAGCTTTGTATAAATCCTTTGGGCAAGTAATTCCAAAGTGTTACATAAATAAACAATAATAATAATGGATAATAAAAATGAAAATCTTTCTTTTATATATATATAATGTGGCGATGTGTTGACAAGGAATTAATGTTTCTGTCACAACTTCACGTTACGTTAAGGAATAATGTTAATCTATCTTCTTGGTATATTATCGTTTGGGCCATAGTGTTTGAAGGTTAACAAATGTCAATTTGAAAAATAAAATTCAATGGTATTTTATTACTGTCGATGGAAAATTAGGGTCACTCATGTTGTTGAATACAATTATAACATAAAGATTATTATTTCCAGATTATTCATGTAAAGATATTAGCACATTTTAAAACAATGTTTAGATTTGGTAAAAACAAATGTGGAGATGTTTTGTGAAGAATGTATACCAATCTTGGCTATCGATCTCTAAATTAAAGGTAGGAAAATGATTAAAAATGCATTATATAATCTGAGAATATTAATACAATTTTAATACAATTATAGGTTGAATAGTTCATCAATTAAATGAACTGTACCTTCTAGCCATGAGATCGATATTAATTTTTATCCCAAAGAAGCTCTACCATGAGAAGTCTGGTCTGTTATTTGGGAAAGTTTGTTATGACCCAAAAGAGGAGATAAAAAAGTTTTACGTTATAGGTGTCTGCAAGTCTCGAGTTAATGTTATTAATCCAGAACGCAATGATGTGGTTGGCTACTTTTCTCGCAGTTCAGAGATATATTTTGATAAACGGCTACCTGATTGGATAAATGTTTCAATGGAACCACTATTAGTGAAACATCTGGAAACTGATAATTACAACTATCGCCTAAAAGAAGTAATAGTGGATGGACAAAATGTTTTTTCCTTCAACCCAATGATTATAATTTTTTATGATTCATGTGCATTACTTGATGCCGAATCATTATTAAGTGAGATATCTCCTGAAGATCACTTTTGTGAATTACGACAAATACTACAGAGATCAAGACGCGAGGAAGAAACTAGTAGACAGAATGGATTGTTTTGTACTTATTTTGCTAAAATATTCACCTCTTACATGTTTCTCCTTATGTTTATTATGGAGTCCACTTCCAGATTAACAAAGAGGCTATTACCTGTGTTAAAATTCTCTGCACTTGGTCTACACCTTAACGAGTGGCTGGACAGTGCCAGATGGATGATAGCTAGTGTAATACAAAACAAAGGACTTACTTTGAAAGCTGGAAACTATATAATTGCAACAATATTGGATATTTTATTAGGTATTTTACTGTTGCGGGTTCTGATGCATACCATTGGAGATACAGCAATGTCGCAGATTCTTCTAGACAATGCAGAGGTAAACATCATGTAATTCAGTTTTAAATATTAGGTTACTTTTTTTTTGTATAAATTGTATTCAAAATTTGTTTGCTTTGAATAATTAAGGGAGCAAATATCTATCAACTACGTGAAAATACTGATTTTTTTTTTATATAGGTATAGGAAAAAACAAACAAAATGTAAATACAGTTTATGCGTATTATTAACCATACTGGGTACATATTTTCATTTTACATAAAAAAAACTTTAAAGCCATTTTTCAAGCCTTGTTGCAAGGCATCACAAAAAGTTCTAATTCTTCATAGTTCATATTTTGCACACGCATTGACAGAATATACGACTAAAACAATAACTACTGAAAACTATAGAAGCAAAATTATCCAGAATGTGAGTTATCTATAAATATTTTTTTGCCAATTTTGTCATAATTTCATAAAATGACTTTAAAATTATAATGTGCTATCGGAACTAAATAAAAATGGTCATTATTGAGCAGGTACTTGTTACAATCTTTCTAAAGGCGGAGCACTCTGAAGCGGTCCGGTTGTCTATAAGTTTATGACAAATGAGGATGTACAGCAAAATATGATTCTTTATAAATATCATAACTTTCTTTTCGGTAGAATGATAAATACTTATATCAATACGTACCTAAAAGACTGGATAATAACATGTATAAAGCGTATTTAAATGTTTCACTCTTTTTTCTGCTTCTGTTGAAAAATGGGGAAGAGATATGCGCTCTTAACACTTTACCGACCGGTACCCCCTATTAATCGGTTTTGCGATAGCCGTGATTTCAATTTACTTTCAAATTCGCCGATCGGTAAAGTGTTAAAATGATATGAAAAGCGTCAAGAAATTTAATCGACGTCGACAAAATAAAATTCATCTATACGCTTTTTGGTGGTAATGCCGTTTTGAATACTCAAGTGGTAACGTAAGCTGGCGATTTCCGTTACGGATATTTATATTTATGTTGAAGTCTTTTATAGTCTACGTTGAGAATTATACGAACTGAAGCGTTCCATATGTCATTTCAATAAAGTAATGATAAGAAGATCGACGTAAAACTGTCGAAATCCCGAAAATTCATTATTTTAACGACTGTTTGGGACCAACGTCACCATCTGTGACATTTAGCTGCAACTAAATTTTTGCTCTAAAAACACGTGTTAGCCACGGGACAAGTCATCATTCCCTTGCAATCGTTGGTAAAAGTATTTTCCATATTTTCCATTTGACTCTATAATATTCCATTTCTACGGTATTTTAAATTGTTCGAGTTAGGTCTTGAAACTCTTCATTTTCAATTCTAAGTCTTCGAGAAGCGTGAAACATCGAAAACGTGCACAGACTACGCCATGTTGGTTCTAGTCTATGATAAATAAATAAATTTTTGATGAAAAATGAAAATTTGTGTTTCAGGGCCTACTTTAGGCCCTCCATATTCAAGTGGTAAAATTTGAAACGACTCGGTACACCCAGTTCGGAGAATACTTTAACCAATGATTTGACCTCTCAGATATGTACAGGGTGTCCCATGATAGATAGTAAATCTCTCAAGGGGTGCAAGAGGGTGAAATTTTGAACTACATGTTCCGTTTCCATTTTCTGCTCAGAACATTTTTCACAGAGTTATTAGTAGTTAAGATGAAGTGAAACACGTCGAAGAACTTGATCGACGTCGATAAAAAAGATTTTTCAAAATACGTTATAAATTCTACCTACATTGTCGACGTTCGTTTTTATATTGGCAGCTGTGTCGAAATATATTGGGTATTGTACCAAATGGCATAGTCCCTTGTCGTTTTCGTACATTAACCGTTTGAGTGCCAAGGAGCGATTTTACGCTTCTTCTGTGTCGCTCGAACAGCGCCAGCGTTCTAGGCTGCGAAGCCGATAACCGCGACACGCTCGGTTTCCGTCAATGCGCGACTTTACGGTTACCATTCCATTTTAGGTAAAAGTAAAAGAATGAGACAGCTGGTAGAAGAACGAATTTTAATTTCTGTCGAACATTACCGCTTACCGTATAGAGCAGAAAACAGCGCAATAGCGCTCCTTGGCACTTTTGAACAGGAAAACAGCAAAGGCACGTGGCACCCAAACGGTTAATTACAAAGAAATCGAATTAAAACTCCAGAAATCCTTTGGATTCGTGCTCTCTGGAGTCCTAATTGACTGCACAGAAACATCGTGTGCCATCTGTGATTTCTAGGTCAATTAAATTTTCACTCTAAGACCTCGTATTCCCGTCGTTTTAGCACCGAAGCGCATAAAACACTTTTTTTGCCTGTATCTCGCTCAAATGCGAGTTTATTGATTACCCGAGTGTTCTAAATTGTCGTAAAATCATCCTGATCCTTTCGTTTCTCATATCAGAGTCTTCGATAATTGTAGATTGATCGAAATATGAGCTCAACGCCATTTTGGTTCTGGCCTGGGCTAAGTTGAAAAATTTTTTCCAAAAACCCAAATTTTGAATGTGTCAAGACAATTTTTAGATGATCACGAGTCATGTGTCAAAATTTCGGACAGTTTGGTCCAATACCCTTAAAAAAAAGTGTTGTATTCGAATCGACTGATTTGAAGGGAGTTTCACTTCGCCTTAAAGATGACCAACAAGGTGACCCGCGGCCGAAGTTCGCAGGGACGCCGTAGGGCCCCTCGCTCATGCCTGATGTTCCTCCCGAAAAATGTAATTTTAATATGTCGAATTATTTAATAAATGAATAAATACATAAATAAGAATAAAAACAGTTATAAATCGATAAAATAATTAACTTAAAAATCATTCTTTAACTACATAATTAATCACTAAATTGCTGATTGATCGTTTAATTGTCCAATGAAATAATTAAGTAAGTCATACATTTATTCACTGGTTGGTTAATTAATCAATTCCTTGCTTAATTGAATGTAAGAAACATTTCATTTTTTGAGAAAGCGGGGAGGCCGATAGAAGGGTTCAAAGCAAATTTATTGTTAAATAAGCATTTAATTTTTGTAACACGAAACATTTTTGCAAAAATACATTGTTTTTTAAACAACAAATTTGCTTTGAAACGTTTTACCCGTTACCCCGCTTTCAGAAATCAAATAATCATTCACGTAATGAAATGATAAAAAAACATGATTAACAACAGTTATTCACCTATTCATTCATTTTTTACAATTAAGCAAGGAATTGATTAATTAGCCAACCAGTAAATAAATGGATAACTTAATTAATTATTGAATTGGACAATTAGTCGATCAGTCAGTAATTTATTGATTAATTGTGTAGTTAAAGAATGATTTTTAAATTAATTANTTCTTCATTCATTTATTAAATAATTTGACATATTAAAATGACATTTTTCTGGAGGAACTCAAGCATGAGCGAGGGCCCGTACGGCGCGCTGCGCCCCTGCGGACTTTGGCCGCGCGCCGCCTCGTTGGCCAATTATAACTACTAATAACTCGATGACAAATTTTCTGAGCAAAAAATGGAAAAAGAAGTTCTAGTTCAAAACTTCACTCTCTTTCACCCCTTGAGAGGTTTACAGTCTATTATGGTACACTCTGTATAGGTCGACTCTTTCATATCACCTTAATGTAATCACTTGTTACAGAAAGTTGTGGAATCCCTAAAAGGTCTAGTCGACTGGTTAATGGGAGCACCAGCAGGCCTGAAGTTGAATCATTCCTTTAATAAGATGCTGGGGAAATTTTTTCTCTATCATATACATTTATGGTGGACTTGTTTAGTATGCATGAAGCCTGTACTCGACTTTGCGTTTCAAGTTTTATTATCTTTGGGACAATTAGGAGTCACCTTTCAGATATCCATGATCGCTGATCTTTTGGCCCTTGTCAGCTTCCACAGTTACTGCATTTACGTATATGCAGCCAGGTAATGATAGAAAATGATCACCAATATTCTATCGATGAGATGTGTAATTCCTGCTAACATGAAAAATTAGATATTCTGTCTTAATCATTTAATTCAAGAAATTTGAAAATATATCGTTATAATGAAGTAATTACATAAGTAATTGATAATTAGCTTACAAAAATTATAATTTCTAAATTACACAAAATTACACGTGTCGAATTACCAGTGAAGTTCAAAATTTTGAAAAGCTGTCCTCAACAAAATTAGTAGAAAGTTCTAATGATTGATCGTAATTTTGTAAAAGAAAGTATTAGCAATTTATGGAGTTCGAGAATTCACTGAGCGAGATATCACTTTCACTGTCAAATAGATTTTTCCTGACTATTATCTAAAAAATAAAATCTAATAAAATTATGGTAAATTACAAATAATACTCAATTTTTTAAGCTTAACTGCATGAAGTCCGTTTGACTCATTTTTGTTACACTTTCGGCGCATAAACTTGTTAGAAAAAAATGTTGATTCTCTTCTAAGAGTGAAAGACTAAATGAATTATGATAATATTCTTGTAACAAACTAGATTTTAATAGAATTATCAGGATTACAGATGTTTTTCTCACATCTCTAATAGTTACGGATGAACTCATTATTGCATCAACTTCAAATGATATCTACTCATTATTAATAGTTTGTAATACCAAGTACCAGGTTGTTTGAGTTTAATACAATATTTTGTCCCAAATTTGATAAAATTTTCATTAATGTTCTCAATCCTTGAGATCAATTTTGTACATAAAATTCTTTTTGCAAAATCTCTCCTCAGTGTATCCTCTGGATATTAATTGACCATTATTTGGGTTGTAACACTGATGATTTTTACAAAATAAATTTTATCGACGGCAACAAATTTTTATAACAAGAAACATTTAGATTACCACGAGTAATTAATCTCGCCTAGAAAGTAAATTTTTCGCTCACAAGGAAACATTCCCAAGTTTCCGCCGCTGATCTTAATGATTTTCATATATATTGAAGAACACAATAATCTAAGAGACTGTTACGTCAGAGTGGTAACAAATTTTGATCCGAACACAAATCAACTTACCTGTAGTACGGAACAAACCCCCTTTTTGGCCACGAATTCAACCGTAGAGCCAGGGACTGGGGTGCACAGAGGGTCAAAGACGGAAATAAACGAGACTAGAGGTATTAACAATTAATAACATTTTATTACTAATCAAAAATTTTTAAATTTCCTATCGCGCTTCATGGCATAATCCGACACGGATTTTTAAAAACCCCTGGCACTAAAACGGTTAACAAAATCGAAATCTGGGATTCTTCACGTCTCACTACATGTGGTGTTGTACCAAAATTCAAGACCAAAATTTAAAGGCAAAAGTGAAGACCAAAATTCAAGGGTATGACTTTAATATAAAACAATCATCAATTAATTAGAATAGGACGTGATAAAAATTCTTCAGGAATCAAAACTCCAAATTATAAAGTAATCAAGAAAAAGACGATTCGAATTAAATCTCGATAAGGTATTGCGAGGAAGAATATCGTGATCGTTTAAAATCAGGAGGTGAACACTTACAGCAGTAACATTCAATGAAATATGCAAAATTCAAAGGTTGACATTAAATACAGATTCAGATGACATTCAAATTGCACAATCAAATTTTTATAATAACTTGCAGCGACAAAATATAACACTCCAGAAATTTCAATCACCTTCCATAACCGAATGTGTCAAAATTGAAATTAGATCCAGAATTATAAATTCAACATTATACGAGACTCGATTAAGTCGGACAAAACAATCTAATTCTGCAAAAATCCACAATTGAAAATCGTAAAATCTCAATCCAAAATGATATTTAGTATATTTCTCGAAATGTAAAATCTGGACAATAGAATCAGCAACGAAAGTAATACCGACAATTCGGACAGAATAACATTTAATCACAAAATAATACTAAAAACTTAAAGCATCAAAATTTAAAAAACAGAGGTAGTTTTCCCTTAATTCGGGGTCACTCAATAATAATCGAAAGAAGGGGAAATTTACACAACGGCCGACACAATAATATTTGCAAGTAGAAAAATCCGACGAGTGATACAATAAATTTCTAAATGGGATAATCAAATCACAGGTGATACGGTAATAATTGTCAATATAACATTTTAAACAGATGACACCACAATAACTGCAAATATGCGCTTTAAACGAATGACAGTAAGACAATTGGAGTAATACATGATTAGGTGAACTCTACCGAACGGATTCAAATATATAGTGGCAATTTAACCAATGCACTGATTCACCAGACTTTACTTTACTCGAGAACTGAGAAACAAATTTCAATTTATGATGCTCCAACATTCACACAGTGTAATGTTGAGAAGACTCGCAAAAAAAAGGTTAATAAACCAACAACCCTAATCACATTGGCTGAAAATGGAATCTAATACAATTGACAATAAATTATATTTTATTTCAATCAACCAAGAACAAAATGTACTCACTTAAGAGAATGAAATTTACACAAGATATAAAATTCACAGATAAACTAGGTGACATCGGAGTGGTTCACACAATTCAAACGTCGTTCGGGAAGGTTCACAGGCAATAGAATCAAACTACACAAATTCAATAACGAATAATATAGATTAATATTTAAATAGGCGCCATTCACATTAAGTAAAATTTCATACAATAATATTTACGCCCGATTAATTTTCAAACTTTCCTTCGGGTTTCACGGGTAATTAATTATGCCAGATAACTAAGAAGACTACAATATCGAATTTAAATTTCCACAAACTTGACTCTGAAAAACAAATCGACCCGTGAAGCTACTATTTAAGGAAAGGACATTTGATCGTTATAAAATCGGAAGGCTTAAGTTGAAAAATATTCCAATGCCAACCTTGGGTGACAGGAGTGTCTGGCTGGAGTATGTCAGTCCTTTATCTCTGACCTCCTAGGATTTTCACGGATAGGCTGGGTGCTACTTGTACCATGATTCCTTCCCTAATACTGCTCGTCGCCTTCTTAAAACTTCTGACACTGCTGGTTCGAAAATTCAAAACGGTGTGCGCTCCTGACCGAGCTCTAGGTTTTCCGCGGTCTCCTGAACAAGGAGTAGGGGCTAGAGGCCCTCCAAGGTAGGGTCCATTGTTTGCTGCATCTTCAGATTCCTAGAGCTCGGTAGTGCCTCCAGGATTTTGAACCTGGTGCTGACACGGGGTTTTGTGCGCGGGGGCTTTCCGACATCGCGGGGACTTCGACCTCTGCGAGCCCGTGCGCACCTGTGGAATGCCAGCTCTGCACCCTACTTTCTTCCGGTGCAGGGCTCGCTTTCCTTGAACGCGATTTTATTTAATTTAAATTTTAAATTTCTAACTAGACTACGTCGGGACGTAACAAGATACGTGTTTTTTTTTTAAATCTGCAATGATTCACATTTAACGGGTGAAAGAACCCCCTACAGTTTGGCGAAAATTCGATTTTTATATTAATTTTCGTGGAAACAGTGGAGGAATTTCGACGAAATTTGGCATAAACGTATTCTGTACAAGGGCAGTGAAAACACAATATTGTCCAGTAATGTTACACCACTTCAACGGGGTGAATTACCCTTTAGACAACATTTTTTTTGTAATATATATTAAACAAGCACTCTTACTTAAGTTCCACTTACGCCATGTGTTTGCTCACGAAAAATGAGGAAATACGTGTTTTTTGCTTTTTGCCAATAAACATTTATACATCGGTTGAAAACAATGTATCTAGGTGGTATATGCGTATATCCCGACTATCTTTATTGGATTATATCGTCACCAATTCATTGTACATAAATCGTGTAAACGTGCTAATTCCTTAAAATGTCGCTGGTTAACATAACATGCAATTATTTATAAATAAGTTAAAAAACCAGTCTAAGAGACTGGAAATTGTTTCGCAACAGATTCGATGACGATATAACCCAATAAAGATAGTCAGGATATACCCATATACCACATACACCCATTGTTTTCGACCGATGTATAAATGTTTATTGACACAAAGCAAAAAACACGTATTTCCTCATTTTTCGTGAGCACATGGCGTAAGTGGAACTTAAGTAGGAGTGCTTGTTTAGTATATATTACAAAACAAATGTCTAAAGGGTAGTTCACCCCCTTGAGATGGTGCAGCACTCCTGGACAATATTGTGTTTTCACCGTCCTCATACAGAATACGTTTGTGCCAAGTTTCGTCGAAATCCCTCCACTACTTGTACGAAGATTAATATAAAAATCGAATTTTCTCCAAACTTTAGAGGGTTGTTTCACCCGTTAAATATGGACCATTGCAGATAAAAAAGAAAACACGTGTCTCTTAGATTTTTGTGTTCTTCAATATATATGAAAATCAATAAGATCGGCGGCGGACACTTAGGAATGTTTCCTTGGCAGTGTTTGTTTCTATCGTACATATACAATTACATATAAGTATATTTCACATGTATAATACTAAATAATAATAATAATGATGATGATGATAATAATAATAATATAAAATCGTACATATGTAATTACATTATTTTCAGGCTTTTTAATCTTCAGCTGAGAGGTCTCACGGCATTGTTTAGGCTATTTTTGGGAAAAAAGAAGAATCCATTACGCGAAAGAGTAGACTCCTGTGAATATCAGCCTGATCAATTGTTTGTTGGTACATTGCTTTTCACTGTACTCCTTTTCCTCATGCCCACGACGTGGGTTTATTATTCAGTTTTCACTACGGTATATATATACTTTGTACTATATCTTATAATTAAATGGCAAAAATACCTTTTGTAACAAAAGTTGAATTACAAAATTAAATTTCATACGGTACATTCTTAATTTTTTGCAAAATAAACTAGAACAGGAATTATATAAAAAAATCCTGTAATTCATTAATAATCACGATAACATTTTTTCTGTAATTAATTTCATAATATAATAATCGTTTTCTATTTTATCAGCTTCGCTTGGTACTGATTGGTCTTGGTGGTTTTTTAACAAGACTTAAATTTTACTTGCAAGTGACGCCAGTGTATGCTTTTCTGAAGTGGCTGTTCAGATCTCGAACAACCAGGAGTAAGTATAAGAAAAGTAACTTTTATTATGAATTTGATCATAAACAATGTATAAAATAACTTGTTTAAATAATTTCCGTTTACTTACAGATTCTGTGAACATTGAAATACTCAACTATAACAAAGGAGGCCCAATTACATTAACAATGTCTACAGTAGTTTCCCCTTGGGGTGAAACTTGGAAGCGTTGTATTCCTGACACCGTTACTTGTCATATGCCCATTGAGTGGGCTTCGATAATCAACGACGTTTTATGGGGTCACTTACTTTATCCCCTATAAAGACTTTACGAAATCGATCTCTATTATATCAGAAGAATTACATTATTTTCTAGAGACTCTACGAAGCCGACCTTGTCACAATTATATCAAAAGAATTGCAAGTATTTGTACAGAATCAATATTTTATTTATTAAAATCAATTTCCATCGATGTGTGAAATTATTTTACTCCCGTTGACATTTTTCCTTAGATCTTCTTCATAATTACAGATGTACACATTATTTTTGCATATTGCAATATTTCACAAATTTAATAGCATAACTTTTCATTTAACATTGACATCGATGTAGAACATTTCATACAGTATATGCAATGTTATGATTAATATTCTTGGTCACCTTTTTAATAGCCTAAATAAGATAATAATTTCTTAAATCTGTTATTTATGTGTTGGTAAAGAATAGTTTTACTTTTGGTTTTATTACCAGATTTAAAATATTTGATTTATATAATAAAAAATTGTCAATAGAATGATCACCATTAACGTGTGATGTTGAATTAATGAATTAATGTAAAAAAAAACTTAGATTTTCCCTGTATAATAATTAATATAAATTGCATATTGTTCGGAATTAAAAGCGTCTTGTTTTGTAAAGTTATTTTGAATCCAAGTAGCATTTTTGTACTATGTGATCATGTAAACAATACAACTAATTAACCGCAATTCATTAAATACTCCAATATTTCTATTCAGAAGTTTCATGGAGTTATGCAATTTCATATGAATAATAAAAATGCATAATTCCGTCACATATTGTATAAAACATTTAGAATTAGATAAATTATTCTTGTAGCATTCTCGTTACTTAAATAAAGTCAATGTAAACTATTTACTGATATGTCTGAATTAAGTATTATATTAAGGCTTTCTATCTAAACTAATTATAACGTTCAGCTTTTATAAACTCTTTCATTCCCTGACATTCAATTAATTTGACTTTTACCACCGCATTATTATCCAAGGATATGATAGAAAAGTACACATACTTACTGTAACATATTAGAAAAATTCAACTGTATTTTATCATTACCGATTTTAAACAGATTTCTTAATTTATTTATCATAGAAATGAATTATATTCTCCCTATTTACAACGATTCGACTGTGGGAATTTTAATCTTTTAAACCCTCTATAAAGCACATAATATTATTGTTACAATTGTGTTCTACGTCATTACTTTCTTTAATGCATACATTATCATAATTACAAATTGACTAAATATCAATTGAATATAGTAGAATTTGTTGCACACTCTCAGAGAACAAGTAATGGCATTGTAGATATTTTTTTCAATGCTTAGTAAGGAATAGACAGAAGAATAATAGATAAGCGTTAATTTATTTATATCATCCTTTAATGATTAACTTCTCGTTTTGTGTCCTCCAAGCATTGATCCATGTCTCTATCAAATAGTCTATCTATGTCGTTCTCTTCTCTCAACATTAAGAAGTAGATCAAGAAGACAGCGACACTCACAGTTACTACATGGCTTTGGTACCAAAGTGTATCGTCGTCTACATTTCGTAAACTATGTTTGGCTTCCCAAGTTGCAGCCTCGGATGTTGAGTATTTTATAGGAGCATCCAAATCTTCATCGTTACATGTATCTTTCTTTATGGTGGTTCCATTCGACAGGCATCTAACAGTTAGGTCCCTAGAATACATACAAACAATTAAATCATAGTAAATACAAAATAGTACCGGTAAAGTTACATGCTTAAAAAAATGATGTATACGAAGGGTGAGGAATAATGTTATTTTGCTAAAATACATATGCTTCATATTAGGAGCCAAGAAAGCACTCGCAGTCGTTTTTTATCAACTTGTTTTACTTAAATTTCTGTCTAGTTCCTTTTTATCTAGAGTTGTAACTAACATCTAATTTTGTTTTTACTGTATGCAAAAATACTGCATCATTTAGACATTTTTTTTCGCTTTGGCTTTCAGTATAAGCATTTTTATTACATCAGTAGAGTTCTAACGAATATTATGATTTGCTTTCGCCTTATGTGAAACTTTTATATTATTTGGACTTTCGCAATAGAATTTTTCTTCGTTTACTTGTATTTTTGTTTTTAGTATAAGTACTTTCGTTATAACCTTGTCTTTATCATATATTAATGTTTCATAGAAAATAACATTTGCAATAGATAAGCACTGCGTTTTCTGCCACCTTATATAGGGTATGCAATAAATGGTTCCCAGACGGCCGTTTCTTCTATGACTTACTTTACTTTACTATCACTGCTCAGCTCCCTGTTTATTAAAAGTGAAGATGTATAGCCTGTGTTTACCAGTACGGAAAAAGCTGTTCAATGGTGAAAAGCTTATCTAATTCGGTTAAGAAGTTTTTATGATTACCTCAAATTTACAAACTTTCCCTCTTTAATATATGAATTGTATACAAGTATATTAGTATTAAGATTAGTATGAATTATGGAAGTACAGAAGTTTTGAAGTATAGATAAATAAGTCTACTGAAGGTGATATGAAAGTCAGCCTATACATATAAGGAATCAAATTGTTGGTGAAAGTATTCTCCGAATTGGACGTACCGATTCGTTTCAAATTTTACTACGTGAATATGGAGGCTCTCAAGTAGGTCCTGACATTCACAAAATTTCATTTTTCATAAAAAATGTATTTATCATGGACTAGAACCAACATGGCGTGGTCTGTGCACGTTTTCGATGTTTTACGCTTCTTGGAGGCTTAGAATAAAAAATGAAGAGTTTCAGGACCTAGCTTGAATACTTTAGAATACCGTAGACATGGAATATTACAGAGTCAAATGGGAAAATATGGAAAATACTTTCACCAACGATTGCAAGGGAATGCTGACTTGTCCCGTGGCTAACACGTGTTTTTAGAACAAAAATTTAGTTGCAGCTAAATGTCACAGATGGCGACGTTGGTCCTAAACAGTCGTTAGAATAATGAATTCACAGGATTTTGAAAGTTTTATATTAATCTCTTTATCATTACTTTACTGAAAATGACACATGAAACGCTTCAGGTAGTATAATTCTCAACATAGCTGTAAAAGACTTCAACATAAAGGTAAATGTCGGTAATGTGGCGCGCCAGTTTATATTACCACTTAAGTATTCAAAATGACATTATCACCAAAAAGGGTATAGATGAATTTTAATTTAATTATCGACCTTGATTAAATTTCTCAGTGCCTTTTATATCATCTGAAGTGTTCTTACTCTAAAACCCAATAAAACATACGTCAATTAATACATTTTGTTGAGGAAAATTACTCTACCACCACTCATGATTGTTGCAAATTTAGTACAGCCACTTAATTCACTGAAGAAATGAAATGAAAATTCAATGAAGAAATCACTTTAAATAACTTTAGAATGTAGGTTTCCTTTTATTCCTTTCAACAGCTAAATAAAACGTAATCATTTTTAGAAAATATTTACTTTCACATTGAGTTTACCACAATTTCACTGACTTTCACTAAAAATTTCAGTAATCAATTTATTTCACATAAATCAAACTAGGAGAAATAGAATGGTACCATATTATAAGATTAGTTAAAGTGAACTTTTCACTTAATTTTTAGTGAATCAAGCGACTATACTGAACTACTAATTTTAAGTGGCGTTACTGAATTCATTTCATTGAAATGTGATGATTGATATACATATCATTGTGCTTTAAAACATGGATGTTACTGCAATTTGACCTAATTATTAAAAAAAAAAAAGCAGAAAACTCAATTATTACAATAATATTGACCCTAAAATTACTATTTGAGAAAACCAAAATACATGTATAAAAAAGTGATTCTTAGTAAACTTTGACAATTACTTGATGTTAACTAATGCTTTATGGTAACATTTATTGCAAATTATGGTCTCGTCGTATATGACAAAATTAAAAATTAGTTTTAGCAGTGCATTACAATGTATGGAAGCTAACAATTGTAATAATCCTTTGATTGCGAGTGCCTATTGTAATTTTTGTTTCAATCAATAATACAAACTGAATCGTCTACATTTGCTTCTGAAAATGTCAATTTATTCGAGCCAAAACATAGCAAACAGGGATCTTTCGAAGAAGAAAAAAAAAAGAGAATTGCACAACATTCACGATTACAGATCAGTCAGACACAAGCCAATAATGTGCGCATTTCGACAAATTAATAGAATTGTACTGTAACTTTACTACCTTATTTATATTTCGGAAATCATTACCTGTGAGTTAACTGAATGGCATTTTTATACTGATTCTTGAGAAATCCTAACCTCCTTAGTGCCATTTTTATGGTTGGTTGGTTGATTGCGGTGGTGGCGCTTTACCTGGCCTACAGCAAAGAATACAGATGTCTCCATAGAAGCCCAGAAAGATACGGGCCTCTGATGCCCGAAAAAGTTGGCTAACATAACTAAAATGTTAGCCAACTGCATGATGGCGCAGCGGTCGCTTCCACCCCTCTCCCCCTACCATTTTCTATCTCATGTTCTCTCATTATGTTGGAAATACATTCTCTCTTCGTCTTACTCACACTGTCTACCGGGCCTCACCCACTCTTCTCGGAGAAACTCCGCCTCCTTCTGTACATCTCTCTTTCTTCCGTGGTGTCGAATACAGTTGACTGACACATGCGTTCTCTCCCTTACAGATCGTCCATTCCCACTCTTCTCGGAGAAACCCCGCCTCCTTCTGCACATCTCTCTTTCTCCCGTGGTGTCGAATACAGTTGGCTAACACATGCGTTCTCTGTCTTACAGACTCCATTCCCCTTCCATGTACATACATACCCCTGCCAGATTCTATGTGCATCTCTTTTTCTCTACCACGTAGGATACGTTGGCTAACACGTGCGTTCTCTCTCTAACAGATCGTCCGTTCCCCCTTCCATGTACAGTGACGGGCATGAATGCTGTCTCTTCCTGTACTTGCCGTACCATATGCATAAGGGGACATTCATGTCCGTCAGTGTACCTCTTTCGTCATTCTATGTGTATCTCTTTTTCTCTACCAGGAAGAATACGTTGGCTAACACGTGCGTTCTTCCTCTTATAGACGTTTTCCCTTTCTATGTATCTCTCTGCTGGCGGGAAGCTCCCATCATTCTATGCGTGACTCCAGCACACAGGATGCGTTGGCTACACATATGTTCTTTTTCTCACAGACGCCGTTCCCCTTCCATGTATATCACGGCGGGCAGAATCCCGCCGTTTTATGCATGTCTTTCTTTCTCTCGTCACCTAGAATACATGGGCTAACACATGCGTTCTCATTCTCACAGCGTCCGTCCCGTTCCACATACGTCAGGGCGGGCAGAATCCCGCCGTTTATGCATGCTTTCTTTCTCCCACCATCTAGCATACACACATGCGTTCTCTTTCTCGGCATCATCCCTTTCTTGCCGACGCAGATCAGCTGTTTCTATACAATTTGGTAATTTATATTATTATGAGAAAAGTGCTAAATTTCAAAGGCTTTTTTTCACAAATTCCTGACAGATGAGACCTATTGTTTTAACAAATAGTTTTGTCTATTGAAGAATACAAAATAATGAAGTACGGCGAAAATCGGGAACAACCGTCTCGTACTCTCCTGTAAATTACATGTGCTGCAAAGCGTAGGATTGTTCAATCTTCAATAATTATATTATATCAAGATATAATGAGTGAGAAATGTACACTGGCCGACATGAATGCCTTTCCATCATGCATTGCCATTTCCATGTTTGCAGAGAAGGCATTCGTGTCCTCCGCAGTACGAATCGACATACAAGTCAACGGGCAGCTATAGAGCCCTTGGTAGTATCTCGGATCTAAATCTGTTTTTTGCCCCGGCTTGAGACGCAGAGTGTGGAGAAGCGGACCTTAAGGCGGGGGGGGAGGTACACTGGACTCCATCGATGGCTTGCACCTGGTCCGCACTGCCCTCTCCGGCCGCGCAGCGTACTAGCGGCGGGAGCAGCGCGGAATTCGA